ACAAAGCCAGTAGCTGATTGCAGCTTTTGAGTTGGCACACTATGGTATTAATCTAAAGAATATAGATAAACATAACAGGTCGTGAAGGTACACCTAGCAAGATGGGCTCTAAACTACCTAACAAATGGTTGGCCATACACAGGCAGATTTCTCATCACAGCAACGGGTTGTGTGAGATTTGCCCATCCTCACTCGGAACTGGAAGCTTAAACCTATCTTTTCTCTGACTCCACTAACGTGCACATACAGGGGACACACGACGCAAGGTCTGTTCCCCTACAGAAAACGAGCTCAGAAATGCTAGTTATCTCTTTGTACTTAACCCCTCCAGTTCACAAGCAAAATCAGTTGCTCAAATCAATTGCGCCATAGTATAAGTGATCATTTATATTGTAACTACTTAACCAAGATACAGGATACAGCTATAGGTATAGTAAACAGACAGCTTGATGAACTGACTCTTCACTTGAAATACTTAATCGGATTATAGGAATTTCTATGTTTCTAAATTCCCCTGAAGCTGATTGAGTACATCTTGCACACACAGGCTGGGGTAAAATTTACTCCACTGGTATTTCAGCCCCATGGTGCTCTCCATTCCATGCCCTACACAAGTGAGGAACAACTAAAGAACCTGTCTCAAGGCCTGTAATGCCAACCCTGAAGTGAAGTGAATTTTATTTTGAATCACGAAAGAACAGCAAGTGGTCGAAAACATAACAAAGCTTATTTAATAACATATTGCAAAAGAAGAGGGTGCGGAAGCCAATGACGGCCAATAAGGTTTTAGTAGTCACGCTTAAAACTAACCCAACTTGAAACTACTTTCTGGTTGTTCCCTTTTGCTTTCTGTTCTTTTCCCATACTTACTGCCCTCTGAATTGCCTTATCGATAAAAAGTTAGACCTTATTTAAAGAAATATCTCTTTACAGACATATCTGTACATAAGGCTTGCACGACCTGTGGGTGTTACATAGTGAAGGACATACAAGATCCCGAATGCTTGGCATGCTGGCACTTTTAACTCCCTGGAGTAGGTGGAATTCTACCTAAGTGTTCATCAATGCTAGCTGAACTTGAACCCAACTTAGGCATCTAATTAAGTCGGTTTTTTTAATCATATCCCACACTGGATCTTGATGCAAAATGTTTTTGGGATTGAAGAGCAACTTATGACTTTTAGTAGGTGACCCACTAGGGTATTTTTTTAAAATAGTCATCTTAATTAAGTTGTTTTTTGGGGGGAATTGAAGTGGAACTCAATCCCAGTGATTTTGATTTTCAGTAGGTTTAGTGAGTGATTTCTAGTAAGTGACCCACTAGGGTTAATTTTACATATTCATTTTTACACACAAATAGATAAAAACAATAGAATTCCTGTAATTAAACAGAGCTTCGCATTAGAACCACCAATTTCGACGGTCTTATTAGTAGCCTTATTTAACCACATGAATCTAATTGTCTATATATCTAAACACTAGACCTGTCACAAACCCCATGTTTGTCAGTATCTGGATCTGCGGAAGGATGTATTCTGTATTTTGCACCTGATAGCACAATCCTAAAATCTATTACAACATTTAAAAGGGGCGTATTTATGAAGCAATGAATCTGACATTCACCAAACATGCAGGTGAATCTTCCTGGAGCATGTGTTTTTAATGACAGTGATTGATTCACCACCAGTTAATGTTTGGTAAAAGTCAATTTTATTGCTTTATAAATATGCCCCTTAGTGTAAAAATTACACAGAACGCCATTTACTGAATGATTACGTGTTCAGAATTTGCTTGGTAAATTATGTTTGAAATAATCCCTGAAGGAACTAGGCTATATTTTTCAATGAATCCAAATCTCTCGATTGAAACTATTAATGGAGCAAAGGCCGTAGATGCAGAAACCTTAAGAAAATTACAGTTAGGTAAAAAAAAATGTCAAGAGTTGCTATATACGTAGAAGTAATAGAAGCAAACTGACACAAACTGTAAAGACAGATCCACCCAAGACATCTATCTGGTACAGTAGCATCAAACCCAGCATATGGAATTTATCAATTGAGTGACCTGTTTGGGACAATGGCAAGGAGTCTGCTTTTAATTCCTTCTTGACAGATACTGTGTTTTGTCTTTTAAACAGAGCTCTCCAATATGTAAATACGATGTTACATCACTCTAGCGTTACTCCATATTTGGTCATTTAGAATGACTTTGGATCTCTAAAGGCTACAGATCCCTTCCACCAAGCTCTGGCTTCATTAATCATGAGCTGCTCTTTTGCTGCAGGTCCCTTCAATGAAAGACAGCAATTGGAAATGGTCACTGGAAACTTGGCCTTCAGGATAGGAAAGAAGCTTAACCCTAAACACACACACACAAAAGCAGCAAACCAGTGCTACCATTCTTTCACACAGGGATCTACGCACATTACAAGCTCTACCTGCACTCTTTTGTCACACACAACTAAAGATCTTTTTCATCCCAAATGACCTGCAGATGTTTATACTGAATGACTTACAAATACAGAACTGGTTTATTGTCCTTGTTGTAGATCGCACAAGGCTATACAGTCATACATTTCACTACAAAGATACAATTTACACGCATATTGACAGATTAATACGTCTAAAACCAAACCGGCCAATAAAACTGTATGTGTGAGGCAAAGACAACCGAATATCTGATCAGCTACAATCAGATATTGAACAGTTAGGATTGACAGTTTGGTAGCGCATCTGTCAATGTGGGGGTCATTATCAAGGCAGTGTTATAGCCTCTTGTGTTCCTTAAAGATTCTATGGAGATTTAGATACAAAGGTATATGGCCAAAGCTCAAAAAGCTGTTTCAATAACCTTGTCAGCCAGTTGGATCTGCTGGTTTAAGGCTAGCTTTATACCTGGGACCTGGCATTGGGAATGACTTTCTAAAGTCTGAATCTAGCATGATTGCACATGGATATGCTACTCTCTAGACTCGATATACACATAATTTTACCTCGAGAGGACGATTGCAAGGACAAGTTTGCCATCATCCCATCATATAAAATATGGTGATGTTTATTAAAAAAACACAAGCAGTAATAAAAAAAGTTTTAGCAAGCATACGTATAGTATAGCATAGCATAGCATAGTATAGCATAGCATAGCATAGTAAGCATAATACTGTGGTCCTGATCTGTGGTAATAATATTTGGTCCTGTCAGTTGGATCTGCTGGTTTAAGGCTAGCTTTATACCTGGGACCTGGCATTGGGAATTACTTTTTAAAGTCTGAATCTAGCAGGATTGCACATGGAGATGCTAGTCTCTAGACACGATATACACTTAATTTTATAATGAGAGGACAATTGCAAGGACAAGTTTGCTATCATCCCATCATAATAAATACAGTGATATTTTGGAAAAAATTCAAGCAGTGATAAAAAAAAGTTCCAGCAAGCACACGTATAGTATAGTATAGTATAGTAAGCATAATACTGTTATTTGGTCCAAAAGACCCACAAAACTCTAACACTCTGGTTCTTCTCATTACACAATGAGATGAACCCCAATGAATGATTCATTTCAACACAAGTCTGCCACCCAGGAAGACTGTGCTTGTCTCCCCTGCGGAACAGGAGCTGGTAGTATGTGCCAGACACTCCTGTAGCTCACAACGCCATCCATCTTGCAGAGCTGCATTAAGATGTAACTGTTTGATTTTCACACACAGTGACCTGATACTAAATACACTACCCAGTGCTCTTTCTCACACAGTGCCGGGCTGCAGAGTCAATTCACATTTCATTGTCTGTGTCTAAAAGGTTAAAACAACAGATACAAAAGAGAGGGGATCTCATAAAGAGTAATACACTTGTGACCTATTCTTGGGAATGAGGTTTGTCTGGAGTTGAAACGGCAATTGCAGGACTACAGCAGTTTTTTAATATCATTTCCGCAATGCTGAAAACTTCATCGGGTTTTGGAGTCATGTTTTAGGTTCTTAAAGAACAACAACTAAACTAATGGATTCATCGTTAATGTATTTTAAAGCTTTATGTTTTCAATACAACAACACAAAAATCAGTGCTTGGCTGATACTGAAATTTGGTTGTATAAGCCACAAAGAAAATAAAGATACATCTGTCAAAGCCACATCAGAGGTATGGGAAAGCACAGAGAGGCATTTATCATTTGGCTGAAGAGACAGGCTGCAGAGAGCGGCCTTTCCTGTCAAACCAACCTTTTGAAATTTCCAACATGCCCTTAAACTTTTCGAATAAGCATGTCTGTGCGCTTCAGCAACTGCCCTCTTTACTCTGGTCTGGCCAGTCGAAAATGGCATCTTAAAGTCAAGGTCAGGGTGTCACTATGCCATGGGGCTGTGTTTAATTACAGTCTGCATGCTGACAGCCAATATGGATCCAAGGCTAGCTGAAACATGTTTTAACCCTTGCATCACTCACTTTAGGAAAGTCTGTTTTTTTCTACTGGGTTTAAAGAATCAGGACACTTTGTAAAAGTTTAAACTTTACATTTAAATTTTGAAAGGATATGCTGCAAACTAGAAGTAGACACATGCTCATTCCATTAGGCAAATAGCAATGTGCTAAGTGCAGTAAGCCATATCAACAAATCATCTTTCATTGTTGCTGACTTCTGCCAATTACTGAAACATGAAATCTGGTTGCTATGAGTTACTTCCTATGTTATTGCCGATTTGTACTGTCCTGATTGTAACAGAACACCTTACGTCTGATACGTCTTACCAAAAAAAACTCAAGAGAGTTTCTTGCTTTAAAAAGATAAACCTTTGAAGGCATAAAATGTTTGTGCTGCCGATGAATGAGCAGTAATTATACTACATTTGTCAACTCAGAAGCACATATACATAGATGGCATTTTGAGCACTTAGTGCAGAACTATCACACAGAGAGGTCAACTGCAACTTTTTTGTAGCAAGGGTTAGTGTTTTTTCAAGGTACAAAAAGAAACATAGAGTAGCTTTTCACACGTCGGATTTACCTGCTGCATTTTCCTGTTTTGGACAAATTCCTCGAGATGACGTTGACAAACAGTCGTCATCCTCCGGAGTGACCTGGATGCCAACCTCCACAGGAATGGACGCTTTCTTCAGTTCACTTGGCGAAGGCGAGGGCGGCTTATCCACAGCCTTCTCTAAGCAAAGGCTGCCATTGCATTGTTTCCGTTTGTGCTCAATAAAAATAAGAATGTCCCCCAATGGGAAGTTCATCTGACACTGACCACAGGTAAGAAGGTCATGATCCCCTTCTCCAGTTCCCAATGTGCTGTTGTCTGGTTCGTCGTCTGTTAAAATGGCTTCGACAGGTTCGGCTGCGGTGTGGAAAACAAAAGAAAAAAATATCAGTTCTCTTGATAAAAATAAAAAGGGAAAAAAAGAATACAAGCAATGCTACTTACTATGTTCTCTACAGATATCAATGTCTATAGCAGACTGGTGGACCCAACCTAACCTGATAAAATGTCAGGGTTTCACCAGAACTTGCTCCCGTTGTTATGAGTGTGATGAGCTTATGTTATTGTTAAAGCTTGCAAATGTATGCCGCAGAAATACCTATGTAAATGATACCTGGAAAATGATTTAACCCTTGTTGTTTACAATGCCCATAGCCTAATATACTATTTGTAGCTGTCATTGGAATGAGGAAAAAAGAGGCTGACATGTTCTGTATATGAATCACAATAAAGGAAGGGGGAAATACTGACTTCAGCAAAAATCAACTGAAGGTGCATCCTTCGAATACTTCTGAGTGATCGATACAAGTGCAGCAGTTATCAATTTATTTTCAACATGGTCAGGGAAGCTCCTAAAATATATTCCAAACGTGTTTACACTCATGTTTCACCATCATGTGGAAGTCAGTTTGGTCAAGTGAATGCCACATTTCATAACAGTTGATAGGACTCTATTCCTTAAACTTGAAATACCTATTCTAGTGCTGTCAAACTTGACAGATTGTCTGCATGGACTTCCAACTCGTTTTATAAGAAGGCTAAAATAATGCCTACAAAGAAACCCTATTGACAATGTCAGAGCCCTGTCGTTCTTAGAAAGCAACTTAGTGACAATATTTCCCTTTGCAAATAAATGAAAATCCTAACCAGCCAAAAAAAAAAAAGATAGAAAAAAGTGCTCTGCAATTTGTCACATGAAGACAATGGTGACACCACAATGTCAATTAGAGCACAAAGAAAACCCATTTTGAAAATATGAGGGTGCCCAACATAACTATCAAACAGTTAATCACTCTGACCTTCTTAAGAAGACTGCCAATTTCACATTTTAATGAACTTAAAGCCACAGAGAATCAAAAAATAGAATTTAATTTGGTGGAGGACTATTGGAATAGATCTCGGTAAAGTGCAAAAATCTACTGAACTCAGGTTACATTTATTTCAGCCCCACGCAGAGTGAATATTAAAGGGGGAGATCTGGAGTAGCTCCCAGTTGAGCAACATGAAAGACGCAATCGTGATACCTTGCTAAACCTGAGCCTCAACTAGGACAAAGTCTGGCACCCCAGAAGTCTTTGCCTTTAGGACTTCAGACCTTTATATCACCCTTAACATTACAGGGGTTCCACTTGACCACAGTCATATATCTCTTTCTTGACGCCATGCTCGAGTAGGATCACTTAATTCCACGCCGTAATAAATAGATACATAATAGTAAGAAAGCACGTGAATTTTTCTGACAAGCAGAGATGAATTAATTTCACAATTAGGTAGACTATAGAGTTAAGTTAATGAATGACTCGCATGTCAGTTCAAACACTGAATCTGCTAAGTCTTGTAATGGATTAAAGTAAAATCAATAGCAGGTATAAAAATAAACTGAAATTCAATGGCATTCTGGACTGTCAAATCATCGAAGATGTAGGCATGTTAATGAGGCTCAGAATTAGTTAAAAAGACAGGAGCATAAAATAGGTAAAAGTCTACTGAGTGCTGTCACCAGCTTGATTTACAATCAAAACCAGGAAATGAAGTGGTTATTCAGAGGTAGCTGATTACTCCTCCACATTTCACCTAATTAATTTTATAGGAGGCAAAGTTCTTGAAAATAACAAGATGATCAGATGTACAGATATAAAATCCATAACCTTAACATTTCCGGCACACTCAACGTAAATTATATCTAATTAGCTGGGAATACATCCTGATAAATAAGTACAATCAACACATATATTTGGCAACTGATGTATAGAAATAATGCAGGAAAATTATTTCATTATCGAGTGTTGTCATTATTATTAAAATGAGATTCAGTGGCGTCTATGGGTGACAGCTCAGCCACACAACACACGTGTAAGAAAGGTGTATGACCATGAATCCTGCGTTGGATTTCACATGGACGCTGGACTTTGGTTGTATAACGTAAGCCTGGCAAGTCATTGGGTATTAAGGTAAAGTAATAATAGTATTCTGGGGTGTCGATTCTATTCTCTTTGGAAGAAAATACTTGCACTTTCTCATTGATCGTTGGAAGTGCAAAGCAGGGAACAGCTTAACACAATAATAATGTTATCCTGCGCCCGGACTAGTCTGGGATTTGCTAAAAATAATAAAGATCTCGGGCCGGACAGCCACTGTTTTTGATGTGAACTTTGCAAATAATAATGGCACAATGGGAGCTTGAACAGAGGGCTCTATCCCTCCCTCTTCCTCTCTCTGTCCAAACACGTGGATGAAAGGCAAACATGTCAGACAGTCAACAAGGAACCTCTCTGTTTTAGGAAAAACCTGTTTCCCTCCCCTCCCCCCTCTTACACAAGACTTCTTGCTTCCCTTCATCGGAGTTAATAGAGAACAGAACAATGTAAACTTAAAGAAAAAACAAATGTCTAGGACTCGGAATTTCAAAACTCAACTCCGAAAATAAACAGACTATTCCTTAAGTATTAAAAGCAGGATATAAAATGTTAGCTTTAGCATTTTGCTTTCCGCTTAAGCACAAAATTCATTTTAAAATTTAATGTACTGCTAAAACACCTTGTTTGGTTTCTAGGAGGCAAACATTTGCGCCTTCCAGATTTTTATATTTCTAAACCTCAAGTATTTCCTTTAAGAGGACATATACTGCATGTTAACGTATGTATATATGGTTATAAAGCAAGACTGGCAGCCAGAGTGTGAAGGAGCAATGGGTGCAGTTTGCTTCCAAGGTAGTTTAATTCATGGTCCGTATTGCCTCATTTACATAAAGCAACATAAATTGTGGATATGGACAAAGAAATGAGAAGGAGGAAAAATGTGCTTCCCATTCCCCCCCACCATGAAGAAAAACAAATTATGAAAATGTAGGAATATGTGTTGAACTGGTCAGGTTCAAGTTTGTACATGTTTCCTGATCTCTCTCTGCTCCCTAGCGGTCAGGTCTGGTATCACAAAGCGTGTCTTAAGTGAAACCTCATGTTGTCGATCAAGTCCCCCGGAGCTCCCTTGGCAATGGGGA